GGCTCCGCCCCCGCCCCGAGAGGGAGGGGGACGCCCCCACCGCCCCGCTCCAGCTCTCGAGGGAGCATCCCTCCAGGGGAGGAGAACCGGGGTCCCCATCTCAGCATCTCGACTCAGGGAGCCTGAATGGAGGAGCGGGTCAGTGCCGAGAGCCCTCTTTCCTAAGCAGGGGACAATCCTTGGCCACGCCACCACCTTCTTCCCTCATCCCTACCTGGGCGCTGGGCTGCACGTCGCTGCGAGGGCGGAATCCGGATCCTGGGCGGTTCGCTAGGCACCCTCCCTGCTTCCTCGCCTCAACTCCAGATCCAACCGAACTAGGGTCTCTTCGGGGAACGGGGAGCGCCCATTCCTTCAGTCCCGAGGTCTTAGGAGGGTTAGACACACCCCCTGCCCACCTCCACTTTATAGAGCCCGCCCCCACTCCTGCCTACTACTCTCGATCTCATCCCCCACCCCCTCTCGGAATTAATCCCACCTCCCAACAGCGGTGCCGCGTACACTCCAGCCTCTCTGCCGGTGCAGGCTCGTGACCTGTGAGAACAGGAGAACAGACTCCAGCTCCCAGGTTCTGAGATGCACAGGCCTCTGACTGCACGGTGGACAGTTCCTCTCCGGAGTTGTTGACCACCTTACAGCTCCTCCTGCCGGTATGGGGGCTGCATCTTCCTTCCTCTGATCTTGGCAACAATTCCCACATGCTGGGAATTGTTAAATTTTGTCCTTTTCCATCTCTAGAATATGATCCTTGTTCTCCACTTTACAGATCAGGACACTGATGCTTGGTGGGGGTTAAATAGGTCAAATTTTCCAATGTCTCAGCTAGTGAGCGAGGGCTTGGGCTTGAATCCACATGCCCTCATTCATTCATTCTACAAATATTAATCAAGCCCTAGTTCTGCATCCAGCACTGTCCTAGGCGGTGAGGTTACAGGTGTGGAAAAGAAGTGATGTGTGTTATAACATACAAGTCACGTCTACAGTGTATTAGATAAGTTATTTGGGACAAGGTTGGGAGGGTGGCAGATCAAGAGCTATGGGGTCCATGTTGAAGCCTTAAGATTGATTGCATTACAGATGAAATGGGAAGTCCTTGGGACTTTGAGCAGAGTACAGGGTCTGACCTTCATGTCCACAGCTCACCTGGGTCATTATGTCAAGAATGGATGTTAAGGAGTGGGAGGCAAGGGAAGGAGCAGTGGGGATATTTCAGGGTGAGAGATGACCAGGGTGGCAGTGGTGAGTCTTGTTTCTGGACCTCCTTAGGAGGTAGAGCTATCAGCCCTTACCAGGTACCCAGACGGCTCCTCCTAGCCATATTCTCTCGGTATCTGCAGCTTAGTCCCTCCCAGCTCCCCAGAACTCAGACCAGAGTTCCCCATCTAGGCTGCCAAACTAAGCCTCACAGGTCATTGGATTGTAGCCTTAGTCCCTCCTGCTTGGGGGTGAGCTCTTCTCCACCAGAAGAGCTAGGGAATCAGACTGGGGTGGAGGGACAGCTGGGCCCTCGGGAACACTGGCTCCACTGTGTGCCTTGGCTCTGGTGTTGGGACCCCCAGTGAAGGCATGAGAGACGCCAGACGTCCGTGGGTGGTTCCCAGCTGCCTCCTGTATGAGGACCTGGGTGGGGGGAGCAAAGAGCTGCTCAGTCCCTACCCTAAGCCACTCCAGTGACAACCTCCCTCACCTCTCCTCGGTGGGCCAGTGGGCCTGTCATGCCTGGGACAGGGAGGGGGGCCTAATCTGCAGTCACCCTCTCAGCCTTTCCTTCCCCCAAGACTCCTTCCTCTCTCTCCTGCCTGAAGCTGGCGTCTTCTCAGCCTGGTCTGAATCCTCCTCTCCATCCTGGGGGTGGGGGGATTCAGCTTACCCTAATTTCCTGCTTCCTCTGGGTTTTCTTCTCTGTGAGAGTGACTGGAGCCTGCCCTCAGACCTTCAGTCTGCATCCTGTCTCCCCACTAGATGGGGGCTTCTGAAAGTGGGACCATGTCTTCTCTTCACCCTGGGCACCCCACTTCCTTTGACTGTTCCTGCATCTAGAATGAGTAGGGTCCCTGAGGAGGCAGGGCTCGGGCCCTAGTGGGCTCTGCTGGCTCAATCCATCAGCCACCTCTACCCTCCCAGGGGCCTAGGAAGCCCTGGGAGGCCCCCCTGAGCCAAAGGAGAAGCTGGGGTGTTCCCACACTGTGCATTTGCCCTTGAGCCACGACTTCTGTCTTCAGGCAGAACTCAGAAAAGCAGGGCAGAGGGCTGCAAGTCAGGAGGCCTGGGTCCCCCACTTCTGGAAGGAGCAAGTCTTTCCCCTTTCTAAGCAGAGAGGCTAAACAGATGACGTGAGCAGAGATGGCTGAGGCAACAGTGACACTGGAGCAGGTTTGCTTCTTTGAAGGCCAGCTTGGTGGGGGAGTGTCCTTGTTTGTGATGCCCAGTCCCCTCCCACCTAAGACTGAGGCACCCAGGAGGGAGGGAGAGGCCCAGCTGAGAGCAGAAATGCAGGTGGATGGCCAAGAGGACAGAGCAGCAGGCAGGGTCCCCTGGAGAGCGAGCAAGTCCCAGGATCTGAGAAGGGAGGCAAGTGGTTGAGAAAGCAGGGGCAGCTGCCCCTCTCCCACCAAAGAGGCAGGCCAGCTTCCAGGACAGGACGCCAAGAAGCACGTGGGGACAAAGGGAAAGGGGACCACAAGGCTCTACAGTTTGCAGAGCGCTCTACATGGGCCGCCTCATTTCATCCTCCGTGATTCTAACAGTTTACAGATGTGGCCCAGAGAATTGAAGTCCCCACCTGAGGTGCTACGGCAAGAAAGTGGCAGTGTCAGAAATTCAAACCCAGCTCCGTGTGACTCAGCAGCCCAGACCCTTCCTGGCAGCCTCTCAGTGAAGTAGGTGGAGCTGGCCCCTCCCCAGCCCCCTCAGAGGCCCAGCCCACCCCCACTCGGGTGCCTCTTGGGTCCCAAACGGTTTGGAAAATCCTGATGGGAGCAGATGGTGGGGACAGATGGAGGGAAAAGCATCTCGAGGCTGAATTACACAAACAAACATTGATAAAGTGATTAAAACCTCCAGCCACCCCTTTCCCAAAGCCCTGCCCACCCAGCTTGGAGCACTCGGAGCTGAGAAGCGGGGGCCCGGGGGTCTCCGGAGGCCCTCCTCTCGCTGCACCCAGCCCAGCTTCTGCTTGCCTCCCTCTCCGCCAGGGACCACCCCCGGACCAGAGCCCAGGGTGGCAGAGCTGCCAGGAGCACAGCCCGGGAGGGGGCGGGGCAGGCCTGGCTGTTCCCAGGGGAGGTGGCCCGAGGAGCAGAATGGCTGGAGAGGGAAGAAAATGTCCTGAGAGCTAGACTTGCAGACCTGAAGCCAGGGCCGTGGGGTAGCGGGTTCGGGGGTCTCTGCAGAGGCCTCACGTTCTATGTGGGGGCTCAGAGAGCTGTCGTTCCTGTCCAGGTCCCACAGCCCCATCGCTGCCCCACGGAGCAAGGCTGAACCTGCAGTGGAGGGGGCAGGCCCTGCCCCTCGTGTTCCCAAGTGTCAGTGGAAACAATGGCGCTGCCCTGGGAGGCTTCTGTGGGGACTGGGGAAGAGGGTACCCATGAAGAGTCTGGCGCTGGGTGCCCACAGTCAGCACCCAGGCAGTGTGGGCTGGCAGGACGCCTGTGGCTCTGGGTGGCGGATGGGGGAAGCCCTGGTGTTGTGAGACCAGGGCTGGTTGGAAAGTGTCCCTTAGGGAGCAGAGACATGGGCTTGAAGAACCTGCTGGCCATGCCCTGTGCTGTTGGGCTCTGCAGCAGGTGAGTGGAGGACTTGGCCGCAGTACCCCTACTCCCCGGGAAAGGCAGCTGAGCCCAAAGTCAGAACTCCAAGCAACAAAGCGCTGCTACCTAGCTGGCCCCTCAGACTTGAGTTCAAGTCCTCACATGGCCTTTTTCCAGCTTTGGCAAAGTTGGCAAAAACAACCTCTCTGACCTTCTGGTTCCTTCTCTGTAAAACCCGCATTTCCAGCCGCTTCCTGGACATGCTCCCAGAAGCCCACAGACACCCCCGACTCAAGCCAGCCAATAGCCAGCTCACCGCCTTCCACCCCCAGCCTGCCTTGCCCCTGGGTCCTCCTTCAACGGCAGAACAAGCTAGAGGTGCCACCCCATCCAGGACCCACTCCTCCGCCTCCCCTCTGCACCCGGCCCTTCCCAGTCCAGTCCAGGCCGCCAGAGGAGGCTTCAGCCCGCCCTCCCCCAAGAACCGTGGTCAGATCTGCCTGCTGTGTCTGCTCTGCCCTTCTCACAGGCCCCCTGCTGGGATCAGTTTCTCTAAATCTGATTATCTTCCTCTCTGCTTAATAATCTTCCATGACTCCCCACTGCCTACCAGAGTAAACAGAAACCTGAGGCTCTCCAATAACATCCCCACCCTCGCCTCCCACCTTTTTATGCTTTTTTTTTTGGTACTGGCTATTGAACCCATGGGTGCTTAACCTCTGAGCCACATCCCCACATCCCCAGCCTTTTTTGCATTTTATTTAGAGATAGGGTCTTGCTGAGTTGCTAGGACCTTGCTACTCAGTTGCTGAGGCTGGCTTTGAACTCGCAATCCTCCTGCCTCAGCCTCCTGAGCCACTGGGATTATGGGCATGTGCCACCACGCCCGGCTTCACCTTTCCACCTTCTGCACCCACCAGTTCGGTACCTTCTGAACCAGATGACCATAGTCCCAGACCTACCCTCTCCACATGG